AATGAGATTTTCGTTTAATGACCTAATTTAATAAATAAATTGATTAACAATTTCAAAAAAAATATTTGAGATTTGCCAAAATCTCGAGAATTTTAAAAAAATTAAATGTTTAAAATTATCTATAATAATTTTATAATTGTGAAAGCATGTCTATCTTAATTTAAGATGGAGATGGGTAGAGACAGTCGTCTCCTGAAAATTTAATATTACTATATATTTGATTTTTTCCTATATATATTTTATTAAAAATCTATTTTTTACCTCATAAATTTTAGTAATTTATCTATTTCTGAAATTTTATAGGTTTGTCCCTATCATAAAATAAAAATACATTTATTTTAGAAAAAAACATATATTAATTGAAGAAATCATTTTAATATTTATGTGTTTAGTTTTTGTTTTGAAATTTTAATTATTATCAAATTAGTATCGTGCATAAATTGTAACATGATTTTTTTTTAGAATTAAAAGATATAAATCAAAATTACATAGAAAACATGAATCCTAAGGCAAAGGGGCAGTGTTCGTCTACCCGCAATAGCCGGTGTCTGTTATTTCATTTCTCCCCCCAAAACGACCTGCGATCATGGGTTTCGCGCGAAATTTGCCGGTTCCTTTAACGAGTTCAAATATTTATCTACTTTATTGGGGAAAAAATGGAGTCCCTGTTTTCCCTCTGTTTTGATTGTTCTATAATTGATCTACATTTTATATACTCGACAGTATTCAAATTGTTCTATAATTGATTGCTCTTTGGTGGCAATAATTTTAGAAAAACAATTGGATAAAAAATAATACTAATACGTATAGGTACTGAATTCAATTGTCTTGTAGATTTGTTTAGTCTAAGAAGCAGTTTAGCTAACAGCTTACCCTATCACTTCGATCTGGGTTTCCTCTTTTTTTCTCTGAGTCTGCGTTTTCAAATGCAAATTTGGTAATGGGTTATCATTTATAATCTCAAAGGGTTAACTTGTTAAGTGCCCAGTGTTGTTTGGGGTATTTTTAGATTATTATTATTATTATTAAGCTTTTATGAACATGGAGATGGTGGTTTGATGTAGTAACCAAGCAATAAGAGAAGAAAATATGGGTTGAGGTCAAAAGAAGAATGTGTTGGTGGGGATTCGATTTAATAATCAAAGCAGGGATTTGCTTAGTTGGGCTATTGTAAAAGTTGCAGAGCCTGGTGACTGTGTTGTAGCAGTTCATGTTTCTCCCAGTTCAGGAAGGGATTTTTCATTGCTTTTACAGTGTTCTTTGATGTTTGTACAATTTGTGTTCTAATTTGAAGTTTCAATGTAGAAAATGCTTTGGGGCAGAAGTTGTTAGAGCGTTATTTAGAAGTATATGAAGGCCTGTGTTCTATAAAGAAGGTTACTTAACTCGGGCATTTTAACGAATTTTCAGTTAAAAAGAATGAAAAAAAAACATACCTGAATTATCATATTTGGATTTCAGGTTGATCTTAAAGGCCAGATTTGTAAAGGAAGTTCGATACGAAAAGTTTTGATTGAGAATCGGTGAACTATGCTGCTGTTGCTTTAGTTGTGGGTGTAAACAAGATGAGTGCTCTTGGGTATGTAGCGGTTAAAAGAAGCAATCTTTTTGGTTTGTTTAACTTGGTATGATTCTTAGTCTCGTTACTCAAAAGAACATAGGGGTCGGACTTCCACGGTTAGATATTGTGCGAAGCGGTTGCCGGCGAGTACCGATGTTCTGGCCATCGACAATGGAAGACTTGTTTTCGAAAGGGTCAAGAACAATAGTGAACTACCAGGTCTGGTTTTACCTGTCCTAGGAATAAGAATGTCAGGTCTTAAAGGTGATCCGAGATCAAGTCTTTGTCTATCTGAAAACACCGGTGTTAGAGAATTTCAATCACATTATGGTGATTCTGAAGTAGGGTCTGAGATATCCGGTTTCGAAGCGATTCAAAGCTCCAAAGATGGATCAAGAACCAGTAGTGAAGATTCGACGATTTACATTATCGACTGTTATTCAAAGATTGAACTATAAACCCGGTTGGCCCCTCCTCCTGAGGGCTAGTTCGGAAACACCGCAATCAAAGCATGCGAGGAGCATGTCGGTTGTCAAATGGGTGATGAACTTGCCAAGTCGATCCCCTCATGATCGTACTCCTCGATGTTCAACAATCAAGGAAATAGAGCTGAGTGAAATAGAAGATGAAAATGATGGGAATGTGACCTGTTAATCTATGCAACATGAGTTGCAGAAATTCTTGGATATACTCCTGAAATCAAATTCATCGGATTGTCGATGGTTTAGTTATGGAATTCTAAAAGATGCATGTGATAAATTCTCCACAGGTTTTTATCCCATACTTGCCTTGCAACCAATGATGTGTTCTTTATTACTTGTTTTCTAAGATTCTGTTTCGTAGCAGAGAACTTGATCGGAAAAGGAGGGAGCAACCATGTTTTTAAAGGGATCCTTCTTGATGGTAAAGCAGTGGCCGTCAAGATTCTGAAGTCATTGAAAGTGGCGTGCAAGGATTTCGCGAACGAGATCGAAATAATCTCATCACTAAAGCATAAACACATCATGCCTCTAATCGGCGTCTGCATTACATACCATGATCTAATATCTGTCTATGATTTCTCATCTAAGGGAAGCTTAGAAGAAATTCGGCACGGTACAACACTACAGCTTCAATGACATCTGTCTTTTTTTTTCACTTTGCTTGATAAAAGTTGTCCTAAAACACTACATTGTAGGGAACAACAAAGCAAAACATGCCTTGTCGTGGGAACTCCGATATAACGTTGCAGTCAGGATCGCAGAAGGCCTAAATTACCTGCATAATGATCTTTCTCTACCTGTTATCCATAGAGATGTCAAGTCTTCAAATATTCTTCTTTCAGATGGATTCGAACCAAAGGTAATTTAAATGACATGTTATTCGAAAATGAAATATGTCACGAACGATCACATGGTCGTGGTTCTTTTTCTCCCCCTGAAATGACAGTTATCTGACTTTGGGTTAGCAATATGGGGACCAGCTGATTCATCATTTCTAATTCAAGCTGATGTCGTCGGAACATTCGGATATTTAGCTCCTGAATATTTCATCTATGGAAAACTTAGTGACAAGATCGACGTCTATGCTTTCGGAGTTGTTCTACTCGAGTTGTTATTGGGAAAAAGACGTAAACTTTGATAATCTGAAAGGCCAGCAAAGCTTGGTCATGTGGGTAAGAGTCTTCTCTAAAACAAAATGTTCATTACACATCTGCATCTATGATCAAATATGATATCAAGAACTTGAAAAATTGCAGGCAATGCCATTAATTGAGAGCGGAGATGTTGAAGAAATATTGGATCCCAATTTGAATGGAAATATCAACGAGACTCAAACGCGACGGATGGTTCGAGCAGCAACACTTTGCGTCACACGGTCAGCTGGATTTCGTCCTAAGATGAGCCAGGTAATCTAGCCTTCGTACAAGATCTCTTAAGTAACAATCCGGGTTAAATTGCATTTACATTTTGCATTGATCCTTAATTGTGTGCAGATACTTGAGCTCTTAAGAGGGGAAAAGGCAGTTGAAACATGGAGAGCGACGGAGAATGAGAAGGCAGAAAGCCAAGAGCACCATAATGACGATGAAGTTTATCCGAATTCGAGTCCCGAGTTGCATTTAAATGTTGCAATGCTTGATGTTGATCATGATTCTACATCGTTTAGTAGTTGCATGGAGCAAAGCAGTAACTGTTCCACGGAAGATTATTTGAAAGAAAAATATAGCCGATCATCTACCTTCAATTAGATTCCATTTTAAGTTGGCATCTTCAAGTAGATGCTAAATAAAAAATGAATGGATTTATATTAAGCTTTTGTTGTATCAGATTAAAATTAATTGGTTCGTAAATCAAATATAGATAAATATAAATCGGTCAAAATCAAATTAGATATCAATCGTTATACAAAATTGGAATCATCAAAAGTAGTCATCGAAGATAAATATTATAATTTTTTATAAAAAAAAATATGAATTTTAATACGCTAAAAATAAATAAAATCATAGGATAGTTTTAGAAAACACATTAACATATTAAAATGAAATTGAGTAATATCAATTATTAGTTGGTTTAAAAAGATAAGTGCGTCCTTTTAGTAAGGTAAGCTTTAAATTTTCGTAATGTGTGGTTTCGTAATAAAATTTTATAATTTATGATTCGAATTAGTTAATTAAAAGATCAATTATTAATGGTTATATATACAATGAAAAACTTGCGTTTATTAGACCAAGAAAAAAGCGAATTATAAATTTTAGGGTTCAACAACCATTAAAGATTGATGGCAACCGACGGTAACAACAGTGAGTAGCACTCGACGACAAGAGATTTAGTCAAATTTAGAGATTAAATTAATATTTTGTCTAAAGTCTAGAGGTCAAATGATATTTCATCTAAAATTTAAGGTCTTTTTATCTAGAATGTAGGGGTCAAATTAAAAAGTAACTCTTTTTTGACTAATTTTCACGTTATCAAACTAACATAAGTAACAATTCAGTAACCAAAATATAATAATCGATAACGAGAATGATCAAAATTTAATAAATCGATAAATGATCAAAATGTAATTTTTTAGTTTAGTGGACAAAAATATACAAATATAAAAGTAAAGTGATTAATTCGATAATTAACCCTTAAAATTACAGTAGCCAAAAATTATTTTGTGATAGTTTATGATATTTTTTTCTTGAATTTACAGTGAAGCCGCTGAAGTAGCTCGGAATCTTTGCAACAAAGAGCAAAGCGGCTGGTTTTTCACTTTGTTTATGGAACGTCCATTTTGGGAATCTTCAAAATCTAAAATCTACCATTTTCACTGACCTTTTCAGCCATATTTAAAAATAATAATATAAAGAATCTCTTCATACGCTTTTTATTCTCACCCCCTCCCCCCTGAAACAAACAGCCACCGCTTATTTTTCCAGCAAATCTGTTCTTCGAATATATGATAACGATGCTGTTTTTCCGAATCTATGTACTTTTGATTCCCTGTTGAACCTTAAATTGTATAGACTTGTTCGGGTCGTCTCAGGTTGTTCCACTTGCTGAGGTCTTTTTCCCGAGTAAGACTCTTCTTCCTTTTCTCGGTTGATCATTGTCTGATTCGTTTCCATTGGAAACTTTTTGTTTTCGTATATTGCAATTATTTCTTTGAGAAAATGTTGGGTCGTCACTGAATAAAATTGCTTTAATTTGGTTGTATGTATAAGCATTTGTGGGAATTGTTGGAACATTTAAATACCTTAATTTGCTTCTTTGGTATTGCTACTTGCTAATTGAACGCAGTTTATTAATTGGGTCAGGTTCAACATCGTGAATTGATCTCTTCTTCACTAGATTTAAGTGGGATTTCTATTGTGATGGACGACGGGGAGCTTGATTTTTCGAACCAAGAAGTGTTTTCTGGCAATAACATAGGTGATATTCCTAGCAGTTGCACGATGGACAGTTTTTTTGATGAATTACTCAATGATTCCCATGCCTGTACCCATACACACACTTGCAACCCACCCGGCCCCGATAACTCTCATACGCACACCTGTTTTCATTTTCACACCAAAATCGTGCCTGCCCCTAGTGAAGATAAGGCTGCTGTTGATGATACCGCCGAGTCTAAGGAGAAGAAATCTAAGAAACGCCCATTAGGTAATCGAGAAGCTGTTAGGAAGTATAGGGAGAAGGTTAAGGCACGAGCTGCCTCTTTGGAGGACGAGGTTGTGAGATTGAGAGCAGTAAACCAGCAACTGATGAAGAGATTACAAGGTCAGGCTGCATTGGAGGCTGAGGTCGCAAGGCTAAAGTGTTTGCTTGTTGATATTCGAGGAAGAATCGAAGGGGAGATTGGATCGTTTCCTTATCAGAAACCAGCAACTAATGTTAACATGATGAGTGTGCCTGGTGGTGCTTATGTGACTAATCCCTGCAATGTGCAATGCAACGATCAGATGTATTGCCTCAATCCTGGAGGCGAAGATAAAACAGGAGAAGCTGCAGCGCTGAATGGACAAGGATTTAATGGTTGCGGCTTTGACAAAATTCAGTGCTTGACGAATCAAAACTCTGGAGCAAATGAGCTTCCTACTGGTGGGGTTAGAATTGCAGGGTCAAATGGCAATTCTTCTAGCACAAAAAGGAGGAAAGGTATAAATTTTGGAGTCTTTATCTTAATTTCTCCACATAATTTATGTTGGATGCCGGAACATGAATTCCTGATTTGGTTTACCTATATTTTATTGTCAATTTTAACTAGTATGTTGGCTATGGTTATTTGATTCACTCGTTTCTTACTTGAACTTCCAATTCTACAGTCATTTTTGCGCAGTGTGTGCTTCTTTTACTTTATTAGGTCTGCTACTGCTATAAGTAGTTTTTCTTGTGTCTTTGATGAAATCATTCCTTTTATTGCTAGCTACAATTATAAGTGTTCATGATTGTTCTAAGTATGTCAACCATCCAGTAATTCTAATTAATAACTCGTATTTGTTATTGAAGTTTACATGAGAAATAAGGACCAGCATCAGTGGTGAAACATTTTTTGAATATTTAGTTGTTGTTTTTTAACCACATAAATTGTTAAAAACTAAAATTTTCTCTATGTTTATGGTTTTGCTCTCTCTCATACTATGGCTATGTTTATAGTATAGAGAAAAACAGCATATTTGTCGTTGAATGTCTAACCTGTCCAAGTCCTTAGGTGTATTAACCATACTTATAGAGAGGCCACTTGTTTTTGCAATTTTCGAAATACTATGATCCATAGTTGATTGTTTCAAAACTGAATACAGCTGCATACAACGTGTAACACTCAGCTTTTGCATGTGTTGTGGCTGTGATACTGATGTTTATGTTATTGCGAGGCGTTCATCCAGCTACGACAGGTTGATGATCGTGCGGAAGAGGGTACATATTTGTGTTCTAACAAGCAGTTCTCTTTGGATGCATAACCTTCTTCAGTCAGGTTGCATTGCTTTTTTTATTTTATTTTTTTTCTTTTTCAACCCTGCTTATGGGTTATTAGAGGTGGATTTTGGGTGTTTTTAGTTTATGGTCTAAAGCCAACAAACTTGGGAAGCTGAAACTTCTGGATTTTTATAGCATGTAGCATTTATGAGTAGTGACAGACGGTCTGGTTTCTTAACAAGTTAAAACTCGGCTCAATAAAATGCCTTATCCCATCTTCTTACCCACAATGTACGATATTCATCGGGAATTACTATCAATGATGCTGTGCTATGCTCTGTAGTCTCTCTTACTAATTTATAAATGCTTGACTGTAGTGTTTTGCTTATTTTGAAGTTGTAGTTTTATGTTTTAAGGTATATGAACTCTGTTATTGCTGAACGACAGAATAAGAGGTGGAATAACTCCGATGTTTCGATAGTATGAGCCCTTATCAAGAGAGTTACAAGTTCCACTCCTTGCAGTCATACCTTGTGATTCACATAGGAAGCTACAAATTAGCTTGCATTGGTTTCGGCCATTCCTATTCCGGTTTTGCATGGCATTGACCAAGCACAAGAAGTTTCCCTTTTCCATATAAAACATTCCTTTTAGGAAAGCTGGGGGTGCCTACTCGAGAGCGAAGCGGCCGTCTTTTAATCAAAATTTATGGTCTGTAAGTGATAACTGACCCCTGAGATTAACCCTTATCCACCTTGCTAATGGTACGGTTGGAACGAAAGTAGGAAGATAGATGTGGGTTTGAAGTTTGAAAAACAAAAATTGAATTCTTGAAGTTGGGCAATTCAAGCATTCTTAGATCCTGAGTTTCAAATGTTGACTTTTTGTTGTGTTTATTGCGTCAAGAAGATTAGGTTGCTGGCGATTTCAGAGAAAGATGTTTGAAGTGAAAGTGGGATTCAGAATATTACATGGATCATATTCATACAGGGAAACAGCCTTTGGTTTTGGTGTTCCCACAAGGTTCATTTAATATGAGTTGGGCGGTGGGAAATTAAACCCCACTTGTCACCAACCATTTTTATTAGCTTTTTGATATTTGTGTCACTTGGAAGTTTGTTTCTTAATCACTAATTTTCTTCCACATAATCACTTTTTTATCCGCATTGTGGGGCTCGCCGCCATCCATGTCTTGCGTGTTTGAAACATGCAACTCCGGTGTGTTTGATACCTCGTCGTACGAAAAGGTTGCATTTGCCTCTTACACGTGTATAAGTCTAATCCTCATCTAACAAACTGTTCACTCCGACGAGGATACCACCCTTCATCCTCTCCATTTACATCTATTGATTATCAACTAATTTTGATTCATATATATGTTGGTAAAATATACTATAAAACTATACCGTTAGCACTGACTAGAAATATAAACAGTAATTAAAAGGAATAGATTCGTAAACCGTGTCGTGGTATAACAACTGTCTTAGAAACGAATTCGCCCCGATGTGTGTAATCGTTGCAGTAGGTGGACCGTCCCCCGAAGTTAACACGATCGCTCCGAATTTCGTACACCCGAAATCGGAGTGGACTGTCTTACCTCCCCCTTACCCCATACATAAGGAAAAAAGGGACAGTCATTTTAGAGAGTGAATTTTGAATGTTGAGAGTGAGTTGAGAAGTTGAATATAACCATATATTTATATGCTAGAAATAGAGTTAAAATCGTCTATAAAATTTCAGGATTAAATCTATTCTTTTGTAACAGCTAAAACGTCTAGATGAATCTGACTCAAAAATAGTCCAGGTTCATTGCATCATTATTCAGCTGTTATAACTCTCGAAATTATATCATGTAACCCCTGGAATTAAATCAAATAACTCCTGTAACTCCTGATATTAACAGCTTGTCTCCTCTGTACAAAGCTGAAAATCAGTCCAGATACATCTTAACGTTTTGATTTAATTTAGGCCTCAAGATGCCCCTATTCTTGTTTCTCGTGCTCAATCAATCAAGGATATTTGGAACCTTATTCGCAACAAAGAGAACAAGGTCACTTGGCATAAATTGATTTGGTTTCCTCTTCACATTCCAAAGTATAATATTATTACTTGGATGGCATTCCTCGATAGACTACCAACTAAAGACAGGTTGATTCGAATGGGTTTCAATATTGATGGTATTTGTGTGTTTTGTCATGACTTGATGGAAACTAGAGATCACTTGTTTCTACACTGTACTATGGCCAGTTTGGTATGGAACGTTGTTTTGAGTTTCAATGGCATTTGCAGAGGATATTGTTCATGGGGTACTCACATTTCGTGGGCTACAGCTTCCTGGAAAGGTAAATCTTTACTAACCACTATCATGAAGTTAGCTTGGACCACCATTACATATATTATTTGGGAGGAGAGGAACAAAAGAATTTACCAAAGATGCTCAAGAAGTTTGCAGTCTTACTCCTTGCTATTAAAGATTCTGTTGCTATTCAGCTTAGGGGTAGGGAAATTAATAGGAATGACTATGTCAATAGCACACTTTGTATGCAATGGGGTATTGATTACTGATGTTTTGTTTTGTTGTTTTGCTTGTAAGTAGTGGTATTCTTGTAAGAACATGCTTTATTTTTTGAAGCAGTTTCCTGCTCTTTTGGATATAAAATTTTGATTTATCCAAAAAAAAAAAGAAATTCCTCAAGAATTTTCTCTAAAAAGATAGTATCCGCGCGGACGTGTCGAAGACACGTATTACTATTACCATTATCATTACCATTACCACGAGCCGAGCCGAGATGGACGGCGGTGGTGGCGGTGCGCGAGAGTCCCACTTGTTCTCTTTCACTCAACAAGGAAGTGGGAAATTCAAACCATAAATACATATTCCAAATATTATTTTCAATACTATGTGGGATTGAGCATTATCAACATTATAGTAATAACATAATTTTTTTGTACAAAATAAATACAAATAAAATTCCAAGTTAGTCATTATTAATAAAATAAATAATTATAGAATAACATTTAAGTTTCAAGGTCAGTACGTACATATACTCAAATGCTATCAAACTTCTTCCACAGTGACTCAATCATCTTCCCTGATTGCTATGTAAGCCGTCCCATTTTTCTTGTATCGATACTTTTATCATTACGTTCTTTTTATTTGTTTAGCTGAAAAGATATCCAGTCACATTTTAAAATTATCGACAAAACCTTATCGGAACTCATTTTATTTTACATACTACTATTCAAGAGTTTTCCATACTCAAAATGCCAAGTTACTAAACATCTAAAATAACTAAATTGTTTTGTTTTTCTCGAGTGGTTCCTAGTTTTACTTATATATATACATATATCTATAATATCAGGATCTACTTACATAATGTAAAAGCCTTTATTAATTTTACATAGATATATGATCATTGGATGAGTGAAATTATATGGTTGAGATTGATTCCTTATTTTTTTTCCGTGAATATCTTATCATTTCTTAGTGTTAATCTCAGTCATTTATTTTCACTCATCTAACGGTCATAAATTTGTGTAAAACTAAAACATTGTGTAACAAGATCCTATATATATATAATGGTACTATACAACGGTGATGAGTGGGATTAATGGTGGATCTCAACCTTGGAACTAAAAGAGCCTTTACATTCATTATAAATATTTTTCAATTTATTTTTTCACTAAATTAATTGTATCAAAAACTTTTTAGATCCGATCGAACAAGATATGAATTGCAAATATTAACAATTTTTAACATAAAAAAGAATATCAAGGAAAATAATCGTGTAAGTTGAGTATATTGATTTTTTCTTAAAGCATGTGATCATCTTCCTTTCAAGTTGGTGCGAGAAGGGTTTAATAATGATTAAAGAACATTTAAAATAATTTATGTGTTTTGATTGCACAATCTGCATATGGTACTTGGATACTTAAAAAAAAAACCTAACGATTCCCAAATAACTAAGTCGATAAAAACAAAGATTATCCAACGATAACAAATGTACAACCAAATCCAAATCAATTCACTACAACAAAATGTCTTCTCTTTTTAAATCACATAACAGAACAAGCAGCAGGGTTTTCGTCGCTAAAAGCTGTGGTGTATCTAACTTCAGTGGAGCTAGCACGTGCGAGATACGTCCCCTGCGAATCCTGTGCGTTGCGAACGTACCCGGCCGGTGCCTTCTTGTCGTATACCCCTTGTGCGTAAGGGTGAGCCACCACGTCATACGGCACATACGGCCACAGCTCCACCTTCTTCCCCGTCCGGTGCGCCACGCGTGCCACCAGCTTCGATGGCTCCACGTATCCGACCACCGTCAGCTTGCTGGCCTTGCGATCCACGTCCACCTGCGTCACGCCTTTCATCCCTTCCACTGATTTCTTCACTTTGCGCTCGCATCCTTCGCAGTCCATTTTCACCTTCATCTCCACCGTCTGAGAAACAAAATCGTTACAGTCGGTTTCATATGTTTTTAGCGACGCTTTCTGAGCGCTGACAACAGTGCACCGCTTGTCGGAACATGACAAAAATGGATAACCACAAACGTATCTATGGTGTTTTGTCGCTTAGATCATCAACAAAGAAAACCCATCAAAAACATGGGTAGATCCGATCCAAAACCCAACGCAAACCAGTTAAATCTAATCATATGGGAAGGATAAAAAACTTAAAAACACAACAGAAACAGCGGATTTCTTGATTTACTGACAAAAAGACAGCTTATATACCTGCAACTGCTTACGTTTCTTCTTGAGCTTGGAACGGCCATGAGAACAGTCGAAAAGATCAGAAGCATGATCCAGAACACCCATGTTTTTGTTCTCTCTCGTCTGATCTCACTAAAATGAACACCTTTTACTCTGTTTGATAATTTGAGTAACAACAAAACACAAAGATGAAACGAATAACGAACAACCAAACAGTAGAGTATTTACAAAGATCTCCAACCAAAATATCCTTTTGAAAATTAAAAGGGTTTTTCGCTGTGTCGAGAGTGAATGAGTGAGAGTGATGCAGATGAGGGAATACAAGGAATTTCCCCGCTTTAAAGCAAGGTTTTTCACTTACAGAGAGTCGTTTCTTTGTGGAAATCTATGTCGTTGGATTTTTTTCGTGGCTCCCTAGGTTTGCGACACGTGTATAACTTTTTTATTTGGGTAAACAACACATTTACTCACCCCAATTATTTCTATGATCCCGTTTTTATCACATAACTATTTTTTTAAATCATATATAAACTTACATTTTTATTTCGTTTTAATCATATATCATTAAAAATTAATTGTTATACTAATGATATAATTTTGTCATTGAAAAAATAAAAAAAATTATCATATTAGTAGTTTTATTTATTTTTTAAACAAAAAATAATCAAAACATAAGTTTAAACATGACATTAAAAGAACAATTAAGTGACTATAACGGAATTACATAATTAATTGATGGACTAAATGATTAGTTTACCCCATTCATTTTTTACTTGGTTAACGGTTATCCAAAATGGGGACGAACGTTTGGGGAAGCAAATAACGCACACGGACTTCGGACACAGATGTGACCGAGGGTGGGTCCAGTTCGTTTGTTGTTTTCCGCGACTAGGGGAATCAAAGGAGGAGTCCACGCGCTCGGGGATTGGGTTGTTGTCCCACGCCAACTGTGTTTATGAATTATACAAATGGGTCCCATTGAGTTTACTTTATTTCAATCCAGCCCACATATTTTTAGTTGGGGGATAAATTGGGTCATTCCAAACTCAAAAGTATCTTCGAGTACTAAGGGCCCAATTTAAGACCCATTTTATGAAGGGAAAAAGTGTCGGGTTTTGTCTGTTGGATCCAATAGCCCATGAATTTTAATGCAAAAATTTACAGTTTTATCAATTTGCTTCATAATAAATATATAACTAAATTAGTCCCTCCCTATATAGAATAGGGATTAATTTGCTCCTCAGCTTGTAATATAGGGTCTTTCCAGATATCATAACCATTTGTGACATTATATATACTATCAATTATAAGTATTTATGGGTCGGGTCGTGTTTAGAACAAGCTTATAAATGGTAACAACATATTTTATGCACTTTCATGTTTAATCCTGTTCAAAATATAAGTCCTGGATTTTATATAAATACATTTATATTTATAAATATTTAATCGAACTATATTCTAAGCATTTCAGTACTATTTTTAAGTTAATAATTAACAAATTTATTTTTTAAACTTTTTCCTGAAAAATGTACCTTTTAACATGTTTTTAATATTTACCCCATAATTTTATATATTATTATAGATTTAATTTGTATATAAATATAAATTATATATTATATTTATAATTTAATAAACAAATTAGTTTTGGAGTTTGAATATTAAAATTCGAAGGCAGTTCATATATTAAATGGACATTTTTTAGATTTAATATTTTTTATCTGTTCATTATCAAATTTCAAACGAAATTTTAAATTAAATCAATAATGCGCCCCTCAGAAAACAATACAATTCCTTTTCATATTCCAACCCTTTGTTTTAAAATTTCAATGTTTTCTTTCAACTTCGTTTTGATTTGTACATTATTGCCCCGACCATGGGGAGAAACGAAAGGCTGCAAATCACCGGTGGTGTTAGCGTGTGCGTGACAGCAAGGGGACAAATGCCGACCTCCCATTGCGGGGCGGACGCTCCCCGTATCGGGACGGTGGGATGTGTTGGGTCCTGTAGACACACTTTTTTAAATCACACATATTTATATGTTATATATATATTATATATTGTATAAATATTATTGTTTTAGTAAACTAACAAATTTACATTTGTTTTGTTTCTATGTCAGGCCCGATACATCAAATGGAGCCCAACAGCTGTGACCCAAACGCGCAACCCATCCAACAATAGCCCAAGTCAGCCCCAGGCTCAAACCCACGTGCAGATCAGCTTCCTAGGGTTTCCAGGAACCCTAGCGCCGCATGCTCATCCCTCGTGTCAGCGCCGTTTCCAGAACCGAGCCATCAAGTCCCCACACCTCACGAGTCTTCACCATTCACGCCTCTCCTCCGTGCTTCTCGGCAATACACCAACAACGTGCACATTTGGAAAACAAGAACCCAGTATTAGAATTCCATTAGGACTCAAATATGTAAGCTAAAAATAGGTTTTTTCCAGTATAAATAAGGGTAATCAAACTCGTTGTGGAGGAGATCGGACACTGGATTCACACACGAGATCACTGTGTAACAACTACTCACACACAATAGCCAAGAGGGTTCAAGCACTTGTCAATATTTTTGAAAAAGATAATAAAAAGGTATCGTTTTTTTACCTTGGTTTGTGTTTCGTCGTTGCATGTTGATTGTTGCTGGGGTTTTCGCTCGGAAACGACCAAAAAGACGAACGGCCGAGGACCATATGGGTTTTTTTCGAGACTTGTTTTCAAGATCTACACCCCGGTAGGCCTATTTTTTAAAAAAAAATCTTTCGGTTTTTGAAGAGGGAATTTGAAAAGCTTTTGAAAAAAAGTAAAGTTTTTTTGGGTTTTGCCGCCGATGACTGGCAGCCGGCGCCGATCAGAGGCGGTCGGTGAGGCGGTGCCATCGTATTTCTGGGTTTGGGGCGACTGTGTTCTTCATTATGAAGAACACAGATGAAAACCAGAGAAAGAGGGAAGGTTGCGGCGAGAGAAGAAGGAAAAATGAAACCTAAAAAACGTTTGATCCAGGTTTATATCAAATTCGCGTGTTTTGCCTTAAATTAGGGTAAACCCGCTTTTAGTCCCTCCTATTTTAAAAGTCTGTTATTTTGATCCCCAAATCCGGTTTTCAAACTCCAATGATATTCTAATTCGACCACTCAATTCGTTTTACTTTCAATTTGGTCCCTGATGAATTCAATTCGTATTTCTTTAAATCTTTTTATATATTACGCTTTATTATATATATATATATATTATTATTGTTATTATTATTATACGTATATATATGTATATATTTTATTTCTTTTTATACTCTTTTACCATTTTTATTTTTATTATTATTATTATTCTTTATATTATCCTTATTATTTCTATTATTACTATTTTTTTTTGTGATTATATATATATATACGTATTTTCTATATATTTCATCTATATACTTAGTGTTAATACATATATATTATTTTAATTAACTTTTTGGTCACTTCTTTATCTAGCTACTACATCTGATAATTTTATACGTTATATGTGTATTTTTTTATTATTTACCAACCTTACTCATTTTATCTTATAATTATATTTCTATTAATATTTTTTTTTTGTATTTATGTATATACATATATATATATATTCGTTTACCTATTATTGATATTTTTCCTTTTTAATACTTTAATATATATATTTCTCGTTTCATTCATTAATTATTTATTCCACTTTTATTTTATTTATTTCTCCCTTTTACTTTTTACTATTATTATTATTTATTTATTTATGCTATTATATTATATTTTTATTATTATATTCGTATAAGTATTACTTTTTTTTTTACCTTTTATTTTTATATATCTTTCATGTATTTTTTATATTTTACATATATATGTATATATATTTTATTTATTATTTTCATCATTATTATTTCATTACTATTTTTACTATTATAACTGTTATTTTTATTTATATATTACGCATATTTTTTTTTTCCTTTTTTTCATTGTTTCGTATTTTATTTTACTCTGTGTAATTTTTTATCCATTTATGTTTTATTATATTTTCTTCTTTTTCTTTATTTGTATTTTCGTTTGTTTTTCTCTTCTGCATATCTTATTTTGTATTTAGTCATATTTCACTCTTTCCTTTTTGTATACATTGTTTTTATATTATTTCGTTTGTTCGCCTTATTTTTCTATTTTTACTACTTTCATTACCTAACCCTTTCCTTGGCTTTTTGAGAGAACTTCAAACAATCAGTGGTAAGCAATTTGGATCAATATTTTACCTTTTAATTTAACTTTCAATTTTCTTAATCAAAGACAACTGGAAATTACACAGTACCGAAAGGGCAGTTCAAGGGTGCTAGCCCTTCCTTGACTGTAACCGACTCCCGAATCCGACACATCTCTGGTAAGACGCAGATCAGGTAAGAAATAGGGTATCCGATCAACCCATTTATTTTTAAATAAATGATCGGTGGCGACTCCAATCCACATTTTCCTAAGTCGAAGCCCGATTCCGGGACCCAACCGAAAGACGGTTCCGACAGGTGCCGTGAAATCCGCAGCCACTCATTAAGCAGTAGAATAAGGCCCCCCATCTTCGTAGAAATACCGCTACACAGATTCATATGATTCTAGCACTAGGTTGACTGATCAAAGTAGTTGGTTCTTTTGAATATAGTATTCCCTTTGTAACCCATATTTCCAAGACTTTAATAACTCATAAATAAAAGATAATGATTGTTTTAGACTAAAATATTACATTTATTTTAATAAAAATATTAAATACCTAAAATCAATAAAAAGTTTTAATTTAAATACTTATTTTACAAGTAAATGTGAGAAGTATAAATACTTAATTCAAATAGTTTGAAAAAATCTACTTATAAGTAAACTTATTACTAATTGAATATGATTAACAAATATTTCATGGAATTTTCGTAAACAAAATACTTGCTTTGGTGTACAATATATCTCCTAAATATTTTTTTATGAATAATTTCTACTTATCCTAAAATCTGTTCATATATGTCTCCTAAAGTTAAAAACAAACCTAGATAGGGATATGCACGACTTTAATGTATGTAAGTGGGATTCGTTGTTTGATTTTCAAACGTCAAAAAAGAGAAAGCAATGACCCTCTCTTTCTCCTGACCACACAAAACAAAACGAAGGGTCAATGCTGTAGTGTTGTGTTATGGTGGGAAGTGAGTTTCCTGGAAACCTAGAATAAGTCAAATCTAGAAACCAAAAAAAAAAAAAGCAGATCTTTGGTTTGCTGTAATGAAAAACCAAACCAAAGAGATGAAGGTTATGGTCCATTGAGAACGAGTCATCCACGTATATGCAGTCAAAGTTGCACGAGAATCGCTCATAAATTTTATTTTATGAGAGCGGCATTGAAAAAGGACCAGACGGTCATGGGAGCAGGCGAACCTCCATGGTGTCCGGGATATCCCAAGCAATCTCTTCATAAATGTCACCCCTAATACAAGTGTCACTCTTCAATAGTGTCACCCCTTAACCTCTTGCAATTCTTGAATTTTTGTCCGAGTCCACCTCTGCATGGGAGTATACACATGACTTGCGTGTGTGGGTTTCCAATGCAGGAAAATGTGAAACTTACCTGACATCTTGCATGGGTCACATTAACCTACTCTTTCCCTTATGACGATGAAGATGGACATTTCAAGATATCAAACGTGAAGGTGCCCACCACTCATTTATTTATTGCCTTCATGAGATGTGCAACATGGCCACCCCACAAAAAAGAAGGTTGAAACAAACCATCTGCAACTGCAACATCTTTTAATATTCTTTTTCGATAAGATATTTTTTTATTTACAAGACTCGAACTTCATATAATTATATATTGGTTGCATTTTTAGTCGAAATATCCAAGAATAGCCTTCCAATAATGTATCTCCTCCTGCAAATGCGTACATTGTGGATCCAGTCTTCACAATTATTATATATATATATATATAGCCTAAATATATATGTTTTCAGTGCAATTTCATAAGATTTCACATGTAACATTAGTTATATATAATATTGTTAATTGTTGGAAGCTTGCATGTATGCAGAGGTGGGGTTAGGCATGCACATTGTGCGCGACGGAACAGAGCCCCGGAATAGCAGGAGCCTAAAAAGTTCACAATGAGGTTATTGATATTACCGTAGATGATTAAACTATCAAAAAGGAGCCCAAAAAGTTTTGTTCGAAGGAAGATATGAGAAATACCAATAATTAGTACTATGCTACAACTGTATAGCTTATCTTATTATTTTTTTGTCTAACTCACTTTAGGAAAAAGACATTTTTTTAAGAATTTGCATAGAACCTCAAACTTTTTAGCCCCAACCCTGCATGTATGGTTGCTGCACAAACACAGACAAATAAAGCAACAAATACAACAGGTTTTGCTGTGAAGTGTGAACACTAGACCATAACCAAAATCACCATTAACATCCTCATTCATACATACATACATACATACATACATACATACATACATACATACATACTTTCATACTTACATACATATATATATATACATACATACATACTTACTTACATACTTACATACATATATATATATATATATATATATATATATATATATATATACATACATACATATACATACACACATACACATGTACGGATATAGGATTTCAAGCTAGAAGGGATGAAATTCTAAAATTTTAGTGAGAATCGAAATTATAAAATTCTTGGAACAAAAATAATTATCAATAGAAAATATAAAAAAAAATATCTGAAATATATGATAATTTAAAATTTTTAATGAGAGCGACTGTCTCCAACCTCCCTTGATCCATCTCTGTATATATATATACACGTACGAACAAATGTCTTGATGTTTATAGTATGTAAATTGGGTGGTGATGTGTGTCCATTGTTTAAACGTTACCATCATATCTTCGGTTCATGCATGAATCATGCTGGTATGAATAAATTCAAAGAGTTATTGATATCATATCTTACAAAACCAACCATTCTTTTGGTTTGATTCATTTATTTGTTTCCCAAAATTTCATGAGAGAGTCGGTAGGGAGTGTTGTGGTCCTCAAAAGGACTTTTTTTTTGAAGTGAATGGTCTAATTAGCCTTTTTTTCTCAAATTGTGGGCAAATGAAGTGATATTGAAAGTCTAACTCATTCATAAGATACGACTTTTAAATGCATTGGTTGGTCGCAGCAAGGGATGGGACTCAGCTCGGTGCAGCACTCGATGGTCTAAACCAACAAGTCCTCGACTCACCGTCTCGTCTCTTTCAAAGTCTACCCATTAATAAAACAACTTTCTGAATCATTCACCGATTCATGTGCTACATAAGCTAATTAATGGTAATGGAAATTTAATCAACCAAGCCATAATTAAAGGGGGAATTGGGTCGCGTGTAGTAAGGCACCTAGAAATAGGGATGATAACGGATCGAATTGGATCGGATCAGATTTTTTGTCACTCGATTTCAATTTTAAGAACTAAAGTCTTCCATTTGCATTCGACTTGATTAATATTTAAGAGATTCCCACTTGATTTGAAACCCAATCTTATATTATAGGTTAAAACCCACACCTGATCTAACTTAACTACATTTACATATATATATATATATATATATATATATATATATATATAATTATTTTTATTAGGTAAAATAAAAATCTAATTGAAAAAGAAAAAAAGTGATATTATTGTAAAATTGAATAGAAAATTTTTCACTATAAACCTAAATCCTATCCGAACACATCCTTAAAAAAAGCTTGACCCAATCTAAATCTAAATTTTTTAAATAAAAATTGATTTAATAAAGACGAATTAAATCAACACTCGCAAGATTTGGGTGAAATAAACATCCCTACATAGAAACAAACAAGCCCCAGCTTCCAAGAAAAGAAAGCTCAATTAATACATTGCATTCAAAACTTAACCTCAAAAGGACAGGCTTGAAATATATTTATATTTTAACGTGTTGAAAACCCTAAACCAAAGAAGTGTGTATTAATCATGGATCGTTATAACCACTGATTAAGCAAATATGAAAAACAAAGAGAAGTAGCAGTTGGGAAGCTGCAGGCACCAGACACGAGAATAAGGGTTTGGATTTTTGCAAAACACCCAAAAAGAAAGAAGAAGAAAAAAAAGGATTCCGTCTTGTCTTATGGTCAATGAAGTTAGCAAGCTAAGAACCTGTGGTTTAAAGGGTCGATCTTGTGATTCCCACGGTGTTTTCACATGGAGGGGCCACCCTCTTTACACTCTCCATTGGTATCAGCAGTCACCATTGTTTTACGAATGCAGACGGAAATAACGCTTTCATATTAAAGATTTCGCCTCAGCTGACACCCAGTATTCAATTATGTATATATGTAAATGTAACAGTGCTTGCGTTTGGCCTTGGGAACTGTGTATGTTTAACCAAGGTTTTCTCTCATTTTTTCTTCATGGAGTTTTCTCTTGAGAATCTTGCTTGCATTGGACAAATTTTCCGTGATTTGGGATCACCATTGGTGCATGTGGTGGAGTAGCAGAGACAAAGAGTGACAGATGATGTTGGGGGGGGGGGGATAAAAGTTTGTAGATTCTCGATGCCAATCAATCCATTTTTCTTTCTACATTTTCATGAACAATTTCTCCTCTGCCGTTCATGTCCAGTTTCAGATTCTCTTTTCCAAATCAAATTTCTACTCAATCAAAACCTATTATATTATATTAACTGCTAACTTAATTTTATACTTTCTATTTGTTTTGAAATAAAATATAAAATTAAATTGAGTTACATCTTATCGTTTATATTTAATTATAATAGACACGGTATGAATTGATCAACTTCAGTATTTAAAGAGACTATTTGGATACATTTTCAAATAATTTATTTAGCTTAAAGTGTTAATGGATATTAAAATGAAAAATTAAAAATCGTTAGTTAACAAAATATTAATCTTACAAAATATAAATTTATTTAGCTTAAAATGAAATGTTAAAAATCAGAAGTGACTATTTGGATAAATATTAATATATTTTTAAAATATTCATGTAAATATTAGTTTATAAAATTTAATTAAACAGCATTTTTAATAAATAATTAAAAAAATCTAAACCCCGCTCACGCCTAATTCTAATTTAATTATTAAACACATTGTCAAGTTTATTTTGATTTTTGAGATAATTAAGTTTCAGTTCAGTGTTTAATAGAGTCCATAACTGACCCAACAGCATTTATTTTCCGCGTGTATACGAAATATATACTACTATATTTTTTTTAAAGATATGTACTGAATTTAATTATAGAATCAAAAATCAATCCTATAATATAATTATACGATCCCCATTTACTTAACGAATCTATAAAAATTAATTATTTTATTCTACTTTAATAAATATTGAAAAACGAAAACTGTTATCATAAGCTTATTATCATAAACGAAAATGCACTTATATTCTATAATATCGTATACTTGATGAAATTAATTATATTGAATGACCTTAATATTAAAATAAAATTTTGTTTTTGAATTGAATAATTATATTTATAAAATATATAATTAAAAAATTATAAATAAATATTATATTATAATTAGTTCAGATTATTAAAAATTATAATTATAGAAAATATATAATAAATAAACGAATCCGGTCTAAATCTCTGAGTCAGTAGGTGTAGTCACAAAATCTGCATGTGTACGTCGATGCTTAGCACGTCCCATACGTGGCATCGGCCATCATTGTTAGAGAAAAATATGGCAGAAAATGGCATCCTATGCGCTCCGTCTTTCCTTTTCCAGTCTTCTACCAGTACTTAATTATTATCCAAATCAAATCCCATTATTTTCTTCAATATATATATCTATATATATATACACACACAACCCCCCTCACTCTCTTATAAATACACACCAACACCCTCTGCCATCATTTTTGTTTTCATATGTCCATTGGGGAGTTTAGGAGTTTCTTTGATCTGAACTGCAACAAACCCTTTTGAGTTTTCGCTTCTGGTTCATGGTCAGAACGAAGAGATTTGTGGATTAAAAGAAAAAAGTTGTTCGTTTTTGTTTCTGTGGTTGAAGAACAAATAAAGGAGAAAAATGGCTGTACAGGCGCAGTTGTATTCTGATAACATCGGCTTTCCATTGTGCGGTTCTTTGGATTTGATCGACAACAATGGCTGCGGTTTCAATCAATACGGTTTAAGTGTTCAACAGTTATATCACTTAAACCAACTGCAACAAGAACAACAGCAGTTTCAGTATATTCGAAACCAGCAGCAAAGAAATCAGAATCTTGAATCCAGGATGTTTAGCCAAAACGAGATTGATCAGTTCATCAAATCACAGGTTAGCAGAAAATGATAAATAAACTATCGATCTTTCTTTCTGAAGGTCTTGCCTTTTGTTCAATTGGGTTCCTTTTTTTCAGAATGAGAGGCTGAGATTGTTGCTGCAAGAGCAAAGGAACCAACAATTTGAGGTATTGGTGAAGAAGATGGAATCGAGGGTTTGTGTTTTACTCAGAGAAAAAGACGAGGAGATTGCGAAGGCGACGAATAAAGCAAATGAGCTGCAAAATCTGTTGAAGAGAGTCGAGATGGATAGCGAGGTGTGGCAAAGAGTGGCGCACGAGAACGAAGCGATGGTTTTCTATTTGAATAACCGGATCGAACAGCTACGAGAGCAAGCCTGTAGCCGGGTCGACGATGCAGAGTCTTGCTGCGAATGCGAAGAGGAGCAGAAAGAAGCGATGGTTTTACCGGCGGTCGTCGCCGATGACAACGGAGAAAGAAGAATGGTTTGCAAATGCTGCTATTATCGAGGTTCGTGCGTTTTGTTCCTTCCGTGCAGGCACCTCTGTTCGTGCAAGGAATGCGCAGTTTTTCTTGATTGTTGCCCCGTTTGTAGAACAGCCAAGAAAGGTAGCATAGAGGCATTGGTTTCCTAGAAAAACCAAATTCCTGGAAAATCCAAAAACAAAGTCTGATGGTGATGAAGGATGAGCAAAAGTAACCCATGTAATTAAACAAGCAAAAATAGAGAAATGAACTGAGCATACATTTACATGAATTTTCTTTTATGAGATTATTTTCAATTTACTTTGATTCCTGAGATTGTAAAGCCAGATTTTTCCAGGGATTTATTGACAATTCGCAGTAAGAAATGGAGGCCTGATTAACAAAAAAATTCTGGAAATCTATCATGTCCAAGGGGATGAATCTTCATTCTATTCGCTTGTTTATTTATTTGTTCATCAAACCTTGTTATGGTGCCTTACTTCACAATTATATTGGGGTAAATATACATTTAGATACCTTAACATTACTTCAGGCTTCAATTTGATACATGAACAGTATCTTGGTCCAATCAAATACCTCGAATTGTTCTTGGTTCAATTTGTACATGGGTTAAGTTTATTGGTTGGAATTGAAATTTGTTCAAATTGGAAATTAAACATAAAGATTAAATTAGAGTATTAAAACTTCTATTTACGCTTAATTTATACAATCTATACTATTTGAGATTGGAATAAAATTGTATTCCAACTTTACAATAATTAATTGCTATATTTGCTGGAATCTCTCGTTATCTAATTATAGAAGATGTTTATAACAAATAATCAAAGAATAGATGAAGGATTATTTGGGTAATTTACTCTGAAAGAACCATATTTTCGTTATTCTGCAACCAATCTTAAAGATTATTGTTTCCCAGTTGTGATTAAACAAAAACTAAATATTTAAGCAAGGAATCAGTTCAAATCTTTTGCTGCAAAGGTAAGGGCTTTCACAGTTCTCAGATTCGTATTTTTCTTCAATAAAAATCCGCACTTGACTCAAAAAACTTCAACTATTTGCTCCTCCAGGTCGTACCCAGATCCAATTTCTTCATATTTAAGCTAATCATTACTCTCAATTTCTTTTAACCCATTGTTTTTCTTGCAGGTTTGATTCTTACAGATAAATTCTAATGGCCAACAAGTATAAACCTAAGCCTAAACCAAGCCAACTGCCTGTTTACCTCTACATTCCTAATATTATTGGTTAGTTTCTCTTCTCAACTTTTGAATGCTTAATGGATTTTGAGTTTAAAAGCTGTTTGTGGCTATGCATGGCCAATTCAATCTTGAGTTGTTTCAAGTTTGAACTTTTTAAAGTGTTTTCGTTTTATGGTTTTAGGTTATATAAGAATTATCTTGAATTGCTATGCTTTTGCTATATGCTTTTCCAGCAAAAGGCTTTTTTCTGCTCTCTATTTTCTAAGGTGAGAATTGTATCTAACATACCAAGCTTTGTCTGCTTTTGAGAAGTTATAGAATTGGTAGACTTGAATATGATTAAATTTGGAATTGCAGCTTTGTTTGTGATGCTGTGGATGGTTGGTGTGCTCGTAAATTCGACCAAGGTATAACTTGTACTCATTTTTATCTTTAAAAGTTATGAAAGTAGTCCAAGCAATAATGTGAAAGTGGCATGTATGCTTTCTATATTTAGGATCAAATATAGCATATTGAGGAACTTAATTACTTCAATTGTCATTCTTTGTGGGATGCTAAAAGGAAGGCATGCCACGTTGAAGTGGCTCGCTAAGATACAAAATCTTATTTATTTTTTTCTTCATTCTTCTTGGCTCAGCATCGACATTTGGAGCTGTTCTGGACATGGTAACAGATAGGTACACAACCTCTCTCTATCAGTGATAGACATTAAGTTTTTAGGATACCTTCACGTATTTTTCTCTTTTTTCTCAATGAATAATGCCGTAGAAATTTTGAATTACGTGGTTGTCTACATAGTGATTCTTCTCACTCGGTTCTGTAATTCAGGATTAGCACTGCTTGTCTACTGGTTATACTTTCCCAAGTGTATAGGTGAGTTTTATTCCATTCATCCATTTGTATTTATATTGCCAAGCTGATATACTTGTGTTATGCCATATCTGTCACATTTCCTTGCAGGCCTAGCTTGGTTTTCTTGTCTTTGCTAGCCCTAGATATTGCTAGTCACTGGCTGCAGATGTACAGGTTGCTCTTTTCCCTTGAAATACATCTTTCATTCCATTTTTTTTACTCGGCTATGTTTTTTGTCGTGAACTCTTCATATTTATATTGCAGCTCACTTCTAGAGGGTAAGGCTAGTCATAAAGACGTGAAAGACAGCTCCTATTGGCTTTTCAAGCTTTACTATGGGAACCGGATGTTTATGGGTTATTGTTGTGTGGCTTGCGAGGTAATTATAAATATATAACCCATCCCGTCTTCTGCATAGTCTTGCTTTTGGTACTTGTATATTGATCAAGTTATCTCGAGTTTACAGGTTCTTTACATAGCATTATTTCTTATTTCGAAGAACCATACGGAAGATTTGATGGATGTAAGTCTGGTTTATCGTGTAATGCTTTCTTTCCCATTTGAAGGGCGGATTCCTTTGCATTTTGATTTCTTATTGCTTAATTTTTCTCATTTCAGGTTGTAGTGTTTACCCTGAAAGAGGGTTCACCTCTTTCTGTTCTTGTTGGTATAAGCTTATTTGGATGCTCAATCAAGCAGATCATCAATATTATAAAGGTAGCCATATATGTCTTATAACTTAATCGAACTTGCATCAATTTATATAAGATAGGGTATGATCTGGATCTTAGTAGAGTTTATTTGGTGTTTCAGATGAAGTCAGCAGCAGATGCATGTGTGCTTTACGACACTGAAAAAAAGCAGAAGCCATAGCCAATTCGAGTTTCCAAGAGCAGAGTTTTGTTCCTGGCATCAAGTGCGTAAATCTGTGACATTAAGGTATAGATGGTGTAGACACCCGTTTTTGTCCGGGTCTTTTTTATATATTATTATTATCGTTATTTTAATTATTATTATTAGCATTATTATTATTATTTTATTTACATATTACATTTTGTTTCCAGGCCCAGTACAAAGATTCCGGAGCCCAACACCAAAGCCCAATATGCTAATCCAATCATTAGACCTGGACTCTACCCACTGGACTGTGACCTAACCCGATGTGGCCCGTTTGGGAAAACCCTAAACACATTAGGGTTTTAACCCTAACTCATCAGCCAGCCAGCCAGCCGCCTCTGGCTATTTAGCTTCCCCAGCCTTGCGTGGTCTTCACCGGTCACTCCCGAGCCGAGTGAGCCGCCGCTGGTGATTTCTCGAGCCACTGCCAATCTCTCCAGTCCATCCATCATCCACAGTGACCCTCAACAGTGAGATAGTAGAGAAATCAATTAAAAATTAGAAAAAATCCAAGCAAATCTAATTAAATCCAAGAGATGACAGCATGAGTATAGGGATATCATTCCCTACGAACTCAACCATCCATCAGTTAGAAGATATCAACACATGCATCAATAAAAGAAAGAAAAGAACCCAAGAAAAAAAAAAGAACCGAGATCCATTCGAACCACAACCGAGAAGAAAAAAAAGAGGAGTAGGAGAGGATAATACCTTCATCGGAGGAGTGCCGGAAAGCCAAGTGGTCGCCGGAGTTCAAAGCTTTCGAGAGGTATAATCTTAGATCTAGGGTTGTTAGGTGGTTTTTAGATGAAAATGGTTTAGGTTTCGGGTAAAGGAAGGTGAGGAGATGCTTTTGGGACCATCTGGTCCCTCCGGCCGCCGTGCCAGCAGTCGTGCGTCGCTGCTTGCTAACGCAAGCTCAGCCGGGTCCCTCTCTCCGATGAGAGGAGTTTAAGAGATTTTTGAATCTCTCTCTCCTCTCTATTTTGATAAGAAATGAGAAATGGGGATGAATGGGTAAGCAAGCCCGATTTTGGGCCTTATACATCATTAGTGAAACGACGTAGTTTCACAGGGGACCTTATGTGTATTTTAGCTTGCGGGGTAACTACAATCTAGGTCCTTCCTCATCTGTAATTTGTTATTTTGGCCATTAATGGAAATGCATTCTATTTTAATTTCAAGCTCTCATGTTTCATATTTCTATTTTAGTCCTTATTATGTGTTATATTATTTATTTATTTATTGCTAATGTTCGACTCTGGTTTTTATATTCGTAAATGTTTCATTTTCGTCCCTGTCTAGTTATTATGCATTTTTGCTAATCTTTCCGATTTTGTCTTATATTTTTGTTTTATTTTATTTTAATCCCCATTTGTAACTGCAATTATTATGAGAATATTTGAATGCGGTCATAGCATTCATGCAAGTTCACATTCTAGTCCATGTTTGTTTGTGTTTATTATTTATGGTGTTTTTGACTTCTGCTTCAATGTTTATATAACACTCATTTTGGTCCTTGAATAAAGTTTAGAATATAAAGACTTAAATCCTATAGGTTTAATTTTATTTTATTTTAAGTCATTATATGTTGATTCTGAAACATCTATGTTTATGGGTTTATTACACATCTAGACTTTTATTACTTTATTTTTGTGGTTTGGTCCTATCCTTAGTTTTACTTTAATCTTAATTAATCAGGTGCACTACAATTTGATTATCTCTAAATATGGTTTTGTATTCTCTTGTAGATTGCTTGCGTTTGTTTATATTTTTCGTTTATTGTTTGTATCTATGATATTATATTTGCATGCATGTATGTATTTTACAAATTTTGACCTTATATCTATTTATATCCATGTATATGATGTAAATTTAGTTTGATCTCATTTATTTATTTATTTATTTATTTATTTATTTATTTATTTCATAAAGGACCCGTTAGTTAATGTTTTATTACATACTTGATTATAATATTTTGCAAATATTTTATCCTTTATATTTATTAGGTATACGTGCATCTTATAAATATTTCAATATATATATTCTAATTATTTTATGTTATATGTTAACTTGTTGCTCGGAAAATTTCAAGAACAATGATTTGTAGAATGGGCGTGGAAAGCATTGCTTGATCGAAGTATTGCTTGGTCGAAGTATTGCAATCCAATACGACATTCGAACCAAATAAGGACTTGAAATAAATTAATTGTATTTTGCTAATTATTAATTCATTCCATTTTAAACATTGCAAAGGTCTCTGAATAATAATTTATTTCATTTCATGTAAATTATCAATCTTCGTTCTACATTTTATATTCGATTCATTTTTTTTTTGTTAATCAATTTATTTTGTTGTATGTAAACATCAATTTTATATATATATATTCAATTCGTGTTTTGTCAAAGAGAGAATATTTTTTACGGATAAGAAATAGTCGAAATAGTTTTTCCGACGGAAGATTACTAATTTCGAGATTTCTTTTCGAATTAAAGAATTTTCTCTAATTAATTGATTCCAAGCAAATTAATTATATTTCAATAAATGGATCATATTTTAATTTTATATTCGATTCGTAATTTCCACCATTACGACAATGCGTAAGTGACACAGTACCAATTTTGGGCGCTGTGGGGGTGTTTACCCTTCCCCACACGTAACTGACTCCCGAATCCATTAAATTGAATCTTTGGTAAACGCAGACCATCTTTGTCTTTTAAAAAAAAACTATTTTTCTTAAAATTGTTTTTAAAAGATATTTTTAGGTATTCGACCCACCTAACCTAAAGGTCGATGGCGACTCTTTTCTATTTTATTCAAATCAATTCCAAAATCACCAAATTTTCCAAAATTAAAGTCATAATTGTTTTTAAAAATAATATTAAATAATTGTTTTACAAAAAATGGTTATGACAGCTTGGCGACTCTGTTGGGGACCATTTTTTTAGAGAGTTAAGCTGTAGGTCGCTTACACATTGTCGTCTTAGTGGAAATTATAAGTTTGAGTACATAGTTAACTTATGATCCGTTTATTGAAGTTTTTAATTGCTTCATTTTTATCTGTCATACTAATAATTTAATCTCTGTTTTCAGATTCGTCAAGGTTTTATCAAGTTTTTTTCCTTGTTTCGTTTTCCTTTTATGTCGAAGGTAGGTACGCTCCTCCTCACACACATCACTCGCATTTGCATAACATAAGCTCTAGACACGAGCTTCGATCCAAATTAGTCAGGGTGAATGCTTTACTCTCGTAAGAATTTATTCTTCGTATGAGTTTTAGCAAATAACCCATGGGATACATACCTTATACCTTCGTAGGAATTTATTCCTCGCATGGGTATAAGGCAGTGAATCCCCTCGAATTGAACTCGTTCCGCTTGAAACCTATAATGGGTGAGGATCGAGGGTTTGGCAGCCCAAAGGGGCACCGACATCAAGGACAATTCGAGTCCCTTTTTTCCGTTAGAGCCGAAACCAAACATATAGTGAACCGTCGAACGATCACCCTAGGTATAGTCATACCGAACCTTTGTCCGTCAGTAGGTACCCAAAATAGGTGTACACGAAGGAGGAACGACTCTAAACCTTAACCTTTTAAATTTGTAGAATATATTTTTTTCCCGAATAAAGCATGCGAACTAGATACCATGCGGTTAGGGCCAATTTCTTGAAAATAGATCATTTTGGGTAGATAGCATGTCCGGGTAGGATTGTTATTTAATTGAAAGCATGTTTGGGTAGATATCATGACGGGGTAGGTGTTATATTCATCTCTGAATAACATTTTTATCCGTATAAATTATTTTACATGTACTAACTCGTTTTTCTCTTTTGTTTTTACACCTTAACTTATTTATTTTGTTTGTCATTTTTCATCCTTCTTTGCATTGCATTGCATCGTCATGCTATAATATGAAAATGTTGATCCGCAAGGGGATATCCATGAGAAAATCTTCACAAGAAGAGATAAAAATTTTCAATCAAGCAGTCGCATACACAGACATGCACCGAGGGCTTAAAGAAGTTCAGAGTACAAGAATGAGACTTGCTCAAAGATCGTGCATCATTCGAGATTGATATGATAATCCATTGATCCGAGGAGTGATCCAGCAGTAGATTTTCATCTACAATCATTCTATCACTAACAATCAAGGAGTGGCATACAGACTTCAGCACTGTAGAGACATTAATGGTGTCAGATTACAGAATGCTTTAGGGGCATCAGTTTCAAATACGAAGAGACAAAACGAAGCAGTGAGCTCAAAGATTGTGCAACATTCGAGACTAAAACGATGATCCATTGAGCCAAAGAGTAATCCAACAGTAGATTCTCATCTACAATTATTTCATCGCTATCCATCAAGGAGCGACGCACTGACTTCAGCAACGCCGGGTCATTAATGGTGTCAGATTACATATCATTGAGGGGCATTATTTTCAAGGACGAAGATCTGAGACGAAGCAGCGATCTATTTCAGACTCAGCATCTAAGCGAAGGCATGTCTGTAAAGTAGATTGTCTTGTGATGTGAAAGCTTTCATCTCTGGTGGAAATTATTCTAAGATATTCATCGTTGGGATCAACATTTTTGCATCTGCATTTGCATCTTTGTATTTTTCATCTGCATTTCATCATTATTAAAAACATGGAATTAATCTGTGGAGTATTCGATGAAGTGGTTCTAACCACATTGAGAATAGAAGTAAGAAGTTGAAACCATTACGACGAGAGCTTGTTCGGCTGGTTGTAGGATTGAGCCTTCCAAGATGATATGAGAAAAGAGTCCCCGTTCCTGGAGGTCCATGATGTTGATCTCGGGTACAACTACAACATAGAAAGCTTCAGTCATTCCGCTGAGAATTGTAAGACACTGAAGATCAAGATCCAGAACTTGATGAATTCAGGGCATGTACAATCGAAGAAAATTGGGGCATTGCATTTAACACTTGAACTGAGAGTGTTTTGTTTGAACTCGTTTTGTTATATCTTTTATATTTGCTTAAATATTTTTAATCTTAATACTTGAATTTATACTACTTTTTAAGGTTGAATAATGGAACGAATTTTAATCTTGAGTTCTTTGAATATCAAATGAATTACATATTCTCTTAATTCTTCAAGAATTATAGATTTTTGACATATGGCAAGATTGGACCTATCTTATCCCATCTAAACCAAAAATAAAATCTCTTGATTCTTTACCCTTAATAATTCATGATCACTACCAAAAGAACCAATTTTTGACATTCATTCTTTTTGAGACCTTGAAACATTGTCTTTATCTTTTTGAGACACAAAAAGTCATATCCTTACCTTTCTTTGAGCCAATAAAGTTGCACCTTCGTCTTCTTAGATGTAAAACCGAGATTTTTCTACCAATAAAACCTGAAGACATTGAGTACAAGATGTTTACTTGAACATGAACCCTCTTACAACAAGACGTGGGGCATCTCACATCAATTTTCTGAAGACGAGCATGAGCAATTGAGACATGTTGAGAGCAATAAGCGAAGAAAAAAATAGAATTCATTCAAAATAATTCTATCATCCATTAATTACTGTTTTCATTTAAATAAAAATTAATCTTGAAAATTTATCCCTTGGGGATACCTGTTCTGCAAGGACTTCTATGTATGAGATGATGAACGACTTTTTTTTTATCCCTTCACAACAGGAGAAAATATATCCCTTGTGTCCCCTTTGAGCCTGAATGATATTTTCTTTTGATTCAACCCTAACCAAGGATCACCCTCCACACTGGGGGGCAATGTGAAGGAAATCTGAGTGAAGAAAATTGATCCAAATGAGATACCGAAAGGTGAACCAGACGTAGAGTGCAAAGATCAAACCAAAGAAAAAAAAACAAAGAGCAAAGAGAAAAATCAAAGCAAAAATCAAAGAAAAAGCAAAGAACAAAAAGAGGACAAAGAACACAGACAAAGAGTCTCCTAACTCAAATGACGCATTGAGCTTCAAACCGTGAGATTAATCAAACACAATCACTCTAGAATCACTTGACTCGAAGATCATAAAACATCAAGAGAAAGACATGCGAGTATATTCAAATTGAGCAAAACAAGATCGAAGGCATCAGAGTTAATTGATCCTTGGTTCAAATACCCTTAAAACACATGTTTGGGCCTTTTATCCCTTTCTTTCATAACCCTGAACCATGACCTACATTACATGCCTTACAAGTCCCTTCTAATCATACATGGATTTCTTAGCGGAAGAGACTATCCTCATATTTCATCCCGCCTATCAGGATTAATATTTTACTTATAAAGATTTTCTAAAATCTTTAATGCATGATAGAGAAAAATAACAAAGGGGGGTTAAAGACGTAAAATTCTGAGTAACGTCTTGAAACCAAAGGAGGATTCGAGTTGAAAACCTGAAAGGGCGGCTCGAATATGAAGATTATTACATAGGAGACGATTGCTCAAATCCCTTGATGAGGCATCACACAACATGAATGAGAACATGAGAGTTGGGAGTCAGAGAACACTTCCAATAACTGAGTACAGAAGCTACTCCATCAGATCAGAGAACATCAAATAAATGAGAACACTATACTTTTGACCAAAATTAACCACTTGAGACTTTTTTATCCTTCCTTACTTAACCATCTCTCAAAGATAGCATTGATCTTGACACTTGTCAAATAGCTATAATTTACTGAAGGATTAAAAGAGTAATTAATTCTTTGATATCCAATGAACTCTTGTTTTATGATTTGTCAATTGTGAAACCTTGAAAGGAGCAATATTTTCAAAACTTTTGATTAAACATTTTTCAAAACTATTGATATTTTCAGACTTTTGAAAATAAAAGAAGAAGAAAAACATTTTCAAACAAGATAATCTCTCTGGAAGCGTATCTTGGAATTCAAAAAAATATCTATCTGAAGCTCAAGATCGAAGCTGGGGCAAGAGAAGCTAAATTTTAGGGCAAAATTTGATGGAATAAACAAATGGTCTCAGGTCAAGGTTTGTAAGAGTACACATTGGTGGAAATACGGACAAGTTGAATCAATGATAGAGTGAAGACTGCTCTCGCGATCATTCTCCTTCTAGATCGAGAAAAGTATACACATACATACATACATACATACATACATACACATACATACATGATACATAAAATTTGTATCAAACATTTTCATCATGTGTATTAAAGACATTTTTCTCCTCACTTGAGGACAAATTCAAAAAAAAAAATCAAATAAATTTCATATTGATATCTATCATAACATCCAAGATAGTTAGTCAAAAATGCATCATTATGATCTTTTCAGGAAATAAGAGCTCGGAAATAACCAGATGTTTTCAACTTGAAAGAACAATGCAATCCACATATTTGGCTTCCTGAAGTCAACAATCAGATCTTCTGAAGACGTTTCCTCAACATGCAGGAATCAATAGACAAACTTTGAGCTATTGAGATTATTTTCTTTAAAATAAAAATAAATAAAGTGTCGTCTCATTAGAGATAGTTTTCTTAAAAACAAATTTTATTTTGTCTCGCTTGAGACAACTTTCTCTTTAAAACAAATTATGTCTCGCTTGAGACATTTTTCCACAAATTTTGAGAATTTTAAAACAAATTGCGTCTCGCTTGAGACATTTTTCCTTTGAGATACAAATTTTGAATTTGATTCACTAAAAACAAAATTAATCTCACCTTAGATTGTTGTTTCTTTCAAAACAAATTTTGTCTCGCTTGAGACCTTTTCCCTTTGAGATCCAAATTTCGAATTTGTTTCACATTAAACAAAGTTGATCTCACTTGAGATCGTTTTCTCAAAAACAAACTTTGTCTCGCTTGAGACAATTTCTCTAAAAACAAATTTTGTCTCATTTGAGACTATATCTTAAAGCAAATTTCGTCTCGCTTGAGACATCATTTTCTCTCATAATACAAATTTCAAGGTTGTTGTACTTAAAGCAAAATTAATATCACTTGAGATTTTCAAAGCTGATTTGTCTCGCACGAGACATTTCCCCTTTTAACAAATCCTGAAATTGTTTCATTTGAAACAAAATAAACACTTTTGAAAACACCTTTGAGATTATTTCCATATAAACAAAATCGACAATATTTGAATCTTTTAAAACAATTTTTTATCTCTTAAAGACAATTTCTTTTGAGGAAAAAATCTTTGAGTTTGTTCCTCTTGAAAAAATCTTTGAGTTTGTTCCTCTTGAAAAAATCTTTGAGTTTGTTCCTTTTGAATAAAAATCTTGGAGTTTGTTCCTTTTAAATAAAAATTTTTGAGTTGTTTCGTTTGAAACAAAAATCTTTGAGTCTATTTATTTTGAAACAAAGTTTTGTCTCTCTTGAGACAATTTCGTGAAAAATCTTTGAGTCTGAAACAAAGTTTTGTCTCTCTTGAGACAATTTTGTAAAAAAATCTTTGAGTTGGTTTCTTTGGAAACAAAATTTTGTCTCTCTTAAGATAATTTCTTTTGAAACAAAAATCTTTGAGTCTGTTTCTTTGGAAACAAAATTTTGTCTCTCTTAAGATAATTTCTTTTGGAAAAAATCTTTGAATCTGTTTCTCTTAAAATGAATTTTGTATCTCTTGAGACAGTTTCTCTTGAAGTAAATCTTTGAATATGTTCATTTTGAAAATCTTTGAGTTTGTTTCTCTTAACAAAATCATTTTTGAGTCTATTTCTTTAAAAACAAATGTTGTCTCTCTTGAGACAGTTTCTAATGAAAAACTAACTTTTGAGATTGTTTCATTTGAAACAAATTTGGTTTCACTTAAGATGTGATCCATCTTTGAGTCTGTTTCTTTTAAAACAAAATTTTATCTCTTAAAAACAATTTCTTTTGAAAAAAATCTTTGAGTTTGTTTCCTTTGAAACAAAATTTTGTCTCTCGAGACAACTTCTTTTGAAAATACCCACCTTTGAGATCGTTTAGACAACTTCTTTTGAAAATACCCACCTTTGAGATCGTTTCTATTAAAACAAATTTTGTCTCGCATGAGACAGTTTCCTTTCAATGACATCTTTGAATCGTTTCCCTTCAAACGAATTTTGTCTCTTGAAACATTTTCTCTTAAAACAAGATCATCTTTGAGTTTGTTTCTCTGGAAACAAGGTTTTATCCCTTAAAACAGTTTCTTTTGAAGAAAAATCTGAGTCTGTTTCTTTGGAAACAAAATTTTGTCTCACTAAGATACAATTTTCTGAAAAACAAAGTTTTGTCTCTTATGACAATGTCTTAAAAAAAATCATTGAATCTCTTTCTTTGGAAAAAAATTTTGTTTCTCTCGAGACAGTTTCTTTGAGAAAAATCTTTGAGTTTGTTTCTTTCGAAAACAAAATTTACCATCATTGAATTTGTTTCCCTTGAAACAAAACAAACATCTTTGAGATCGTTTCCCTTGAAATGAATTTTGTCTCATTTGAGACAGTTTCCCATGAAACACCGATATTTGAGAACGTCTCCCTTAAAAACAAATTTTGTCTCGCTTGAGACAATTCCCTTTAAACGTCATCTTTTGAGTTGTTTCATTTGAAACGAATTTTGTCTCTTTCGAGACAGTTGCTTTTGAAACACATTATCTTTGAGCTTGTTTTTCTTGAAACAAATCTTTGAGTCTGTTTCTTTTGAAACAAATCTTTGAATCGGTTTCTCTTGAAATCATAACTCCTAAAGATGGCCAGCCGTCCTCATCACGTAGGAATCGTGTCACCCCTAGATAACTAGACGTCCTCATCACGTAGGAACCATGTTATCGCCCTTCCTAAAGATGGCCAGAACTCTTCATCACGTATGAGTCGTGTCATCCCCCGACCAGATCTCCTCATCGCGTAGGAGCCGTGTCACCCCTAGATAACTAGACGTCCTCATCACGTAGGAACCATGTTATCGCCCTTCCTAAAGATGGCCAGAACTCTTCATCACGTATGAGTCGTGTCATCCCCCGACCAGATCTCCTCATCGCGTAGGAGCCGTGTCACCCCTAGATAACCAGCCGTCCTCATCGTGTAGGAACCGAGTTATCACCCTTCCTAAAGATGGCCAAGAACTCTTCATCACGTATGAGAAAGTGTCATCCCTCGACCATATTTCCTCATCATGTAGGAATCGTGTCACCCTTAGATGACCCGAACTCTTCCTCACGTATGAGCAGTGTCATCCCCACCAACATGCATATCCAATTTATAGGAAAAAGAAAGAGAACCAGACAAAAACGTGTTGTATTGTCGTCTTTTCCCTATTCTTGTTAACACAAGAATGTGCAAAGAGGGGCAGCTGTAGACACCCGTTTTTGTCCGGGTCTTTTTTATATATTATTATTGTCGTTATTTTAATTATTATTATTAGCATTATTATTATTATTTTATTTACATATTACATTATGTTTCCAGGCCCAGTACAAAGATTCCGGAGCCCAACACCAAAGCCCAATATGCTAATCCAATCATTAGACCTGGACTCTACCCACTGGACTGTGACCTAACCCGATGTGGCCCGTTTGGGAAAACCCTAAACACATTAGGGTTTTAACCCTAACTCATCAGCCAGCCAGCCAGCCGCCTCTGGCTATTTAGCTTCCCCAGCCTTGCGTGGTCTTCACCGGTCACTCCCGAGCCGAGTGAGCCGCCGCTGGTGATTTCTCGAGCCACTGCCAATCTCTCCAGTCCATCCATCATCCACAGTGACCCTCAACAGTGAGATAGCAGAGAAATCAATTAAAAATTAGAAAAAATCCAAGCAAATCTAATTAAATCCAAGAGATGACAGCATGAGTATAGGGATATCATTCCCTACGAACTCAACCATCCATCAGTTAGAAGATATCAACACATGCATCAATAAAAGAAAGAAAAGAACCCAAGAAAAAAAAAAGAACCGAGATCCATTCGAACCACAACCGAGAAGAAAAAAAAGAGGAGTAGGAGAGGATAATACCTTCATCGGAGGAGTGCCGAAAAGCCAAGTGGTCGCCGGAGTTCAAAGCTTTCGAGAGGTATAATCTTAGATCTAGGGTTGTTAGGTGGTTTTTAGATGAAAATGGTTTAGGTTTCGGGTAAAGGAAGGTGAGGAGATGCTTTTGGGACCATCTGGTCCCTCCGGCCGCCGTGCCAGCAGTCGTGCGTCGCTGCTTGCTACCGCAAGCTCAGCCGGGTCCCTCTCTCCGATGAGAGGAGTTTAAGAGATTTTTGAATCTCTCTCTCCTCTCTATTTTGATAAGAAATGAGAAATGGGGATGAATGGGTAAGCAAGCCCGATTTTGGGCCTTATACATCATTAGTGAAACGACGTAGTTTCACAGGGGGCCTTATGTGTATTTTAGCTTGCGGGGTAACTACAATCTAGGTCCTTCCTCATCTGTAATTTGTTATTTTGGCCATTAATGGAAATGCATTCTATTTTAATTTCAAGCTCTCATGTTTCATATTTCTATTTTAGTCCTTATTATGTGTTATATTATTTATTTATTTATTTATTTTTTGCTAATGTTCGACTCTGGTTTTTATATTCGTAAATGTTTCATTTTCGTCCCTGTCTAGTTATTATGCATTTTTGCTAATCTTTCGGATTTTGTCTTATATTTTTGTTTTATTTTATTTTAATCCCCATTTGTAACTGCAATTATTATGAGAATATTTGAATGCGGTCATAGCATTCATGCAAGTTCACATTCTAGTCCATGTTTGTTTGTGTTTATTATTTATGGTGTTTTTGACTTCTGCTTCAATGTTTATATAACACTCATTTTGGTCCTTGAATAAAGTTTAGAATATAAAGACTTAAATCCTATAGGTTTAATTTTTATTTTATTTTAAGTCATTATATGTTGATTCTGAAACATCTATGTTTATGGGTTTATTACACATCTAGACTTTTATTACTTTATTTTTGTGGTTTGGTCCTATCCTTAGTTTTACTTTAATCTTAATTAATCCGGTGCACTACAATTTGATTATCTCTAAATATGGTTTTGTATTCTCTTGTAGATTGCTTGCGTTTGTTTATATTTTTCGTTTATTGTTTGTATCTATGATATTATATTTGCATGCATGTATGTATTTTACAAATTTTGACCTTATATCTATTTATATCCATGTATATGATGTAAATTTAGTTTGATCTCATTTATTTATTTATTTATTTCATAAAGGACCCGTTAGTTAATGTTTTATTACATACTTGATTATAATATTTTGCAAATATTTTATCCTTTATATTTATTAGGTATACGTGCATCTTATAAATATTTCAATATATATATTCTAATTATTTTATGTTATATGTTAACTTGTTGCTCGGAAAATTTCAAGAACAATGATTTGTAGAATGGGTGTGGAAAGCATTGTTTGATCGAAGTATTGCTTGGTCGAAGTATTGCAATCCAATACGACATTCGAACCAAATAAGGACTTGAAATAAATTAATTGTATTTTGCTAATTATTAATTCATTCCATTTTAAACATTGCAAAGGTCTCTGAATAATAATTTATTTCATTTCATGTAAATTATCAATCTTCGTTCTACATTTTATATTCGATTCATTTTTTTTTGTTAATCAATTTATTTTGTTGTATGTAAACATCAATTTTATATATATATTCAATTCGTGTTTTGTCAAAGAGAGAATATTTTTTTACGGATAAGAAATAGTCGAAATAGTTTTCCCGACGGAAGATTACTAATTTCGAGATTTCTTTTCGAATTAAAGAATTTTCTCTAATTAATTGATTCCAAGCAAATTAATTATATTTCAATAAATGGATCATATTTTAATTTTATATTCGATTCGTAATTTCCACCATTACGACAATGCGTAAGTGACACAGTACCAATTTTGGGCGCTGTGGGGGTGTTTACCCTTCCCCACACGTAACCGACTCCCGAATCCATTAAATTGAATCTTTGGTAAACGCAGACCATCTTTGTCTTTAAAAAAAAACTATTTTTCTTAAAATTATTTTTAAAAGATATTTTTAGGTATTCGACCCACTTAACCTAAAGGTCGATGGCGACTCTTTTCTATTTTATTCAAATCAATTCCAAAATCACTAAATTTTTCAAAATTAAAGTCATAATTGTTTTTAAAAATAATATTAAATAATTATTTTACAAAAAATGGTTATGACAGATGGTAGCACTGGTGTCTCTCATTCCAAATAAATAAAAATTCAGGATGACAAGGCATCCCCACTTCTCCTGTTTTAAGAAATCATCGATGCAACCAAATCACATGGCTTGCCTGCTTATGCCAAAGTCATCAGGTTTGTGTTGACAGAGTATTAAACGTGGATCTATGGCTGAAAAGTGTTGCATCATACACCTCTTTTTTTTTTTGGGGTTTATTTTGGGTTGAGACTTGAGATGTAGATTCAGCTTTCTGAAACTGAAGTCCAAGTGATTTAATTTTAAATTTAGCTGTGTTCGAATATGAATATGTATAGTGTTTTGATTATAAAAATTGCTGAACTGCAATTATACGATGTTGTGGATCTCATGACATGTGCGCGTAAGTGCTTTTTACCATCTTGCTAGGGTGTTCCACTGTTTTGATGTAAATGCATTGACCATTCAAGCAAGAAATGTATAACTTATGGCTTAACAAGCATGATACTCTAACCATAGTAATAGAAGAGTGTTTCGAAACAGTCTCACAAGGAAGCAACAAAATGGTAATTGGAGCAAAGATGCTGCTCGGATGAAATATTGCTGAAAATAAATCCGAATATCCTTTCTAACGTCTTCATTAAGTGCTAAAGAAGCTGGAGTGAATATCTTGATGTAGGGTCAGGTAGATCAATAGAGACTAAATCCGAAAAATTGGCTTACGATAATGGCTACTCCCAGAGCAATGGCTACAAGAGAAGAAGCCCATGTAAGTTTTTCTGTAATTCTTGGGACCCTATCCTTTAATGCTTGACTGCATGAGCCTATAAACACTGTATAGCTTCCCATTGCTACCACAGTTCCGAGCAAGAACATAATAAGGAATGCAGCACCATCCAGGCGAGATGGCAAAGCAAGTGCCGGCAAAACCATCATTAGTGCATCTGGCTGCAATCCGTGAACAATCCCAGTGGCAAATGTAGCAAAACCAATCTTTTTCTTCCCGACTGTAGGGTTTTCAAGTGCCTCGTAAACGCTAACATCACACTCACCATTTTCTAAGGCAACACAAGGAGTAGGAACTTCTGAAGCCTCTTTTATACCCATAGCCCCAATAACAAGCAATGTTAAGCCCACTACTCTTGTACCCCAAGTCCGGATAATTTCAATGTGGAGACGATCCTTTAGAAGTAGAAACAATAAACCAAAAATAACCTGACCGGCATCGTGGCCACAACCCCATAGAGCTCCAACAACAGCGCTTTCCATTCGAGTTCGGCCAATTGATAGTGGAGCCAAAGCAGCAAGGTGGTCAGGCCCCGATAGGGTGTGTAAGCAACCGGCAAAGAAACCAGACACCGCGCTACTAAGTAATTCAACACGTAATACTCTTCCCCCCACTGCAGCAGCTGCAGTTCCACTGGCTTTAGCACCAGTTTGAAAGGTTGCAAAAGCTGCTGGTGCAAAAATTGGTTGGATTAAGAACATGATAATGGCAGAGAGTGCTAGAAACGTCCCAGCTGTGATTGCCTGAAAAGATTTCAGAGAACTTAATACCTAATAAACTGAAAAATGATATGCTGAACGTGACAAAATGCATAACAAAAGTATCCCACTGCCATGGGATGCCTGTTTTAACAGGGATGTACAGATTAAATTACATCTATCCATTATCCACGTCTAGTATCACGCTAGTCAGCAATGGTGGATGAATCAATATTTCCAAATGCATGAGTTCTCTCAGTTCTACTACTGATTAAGGATTCCACATTCAATCACCAGCGATACCAGTAGTTGTAACACTAACAGCAATAAAATTTTAGACGGAGTTGATCATGGTATGATTAGCTCTACACAAATAAAATGGATGTGTTTTCTTTTTCTGGCTTCCATATACCACTGTTCATGAGCAAAGTAGAACTCTTCTTTGGCTTATCATGAAGTTTGACAAGATCTAATTCATTTAACAAGATGCAAAAACAGTTGGACTCTTGCGAAAGCTAGTTCCACTCCAATCTTCTAATCTATTTAAATGATTGGTCTAAATTTGCAAATGTGTGCATAATTTACCAAAAAAAATTGTGGTAATAGAAACTCAATACCCAGTTCCCTGTTTAGGGTTTTCAAAAAAAAAAATTTGCTTAGTTAAGCACCACAAATGAAAATAATGCACCAAAAGAGTACAGTAACAGAGGAAAATTCACATGGAACAGATATTGATATGCAACTCAGCTAAATTACATTTACCGCTAGCCATGTAATCACTCTCAATCATTCTTCTTCAAAAAGAGTCCATCTTTGTAACCATTGAACACCAAACTCCCCATATGATAGTTTACTTTCTGATACAATCTCTTAACCCTATAACTAGAAATCCGTAATCAAGTATTGACCAAGTCGAACTTTGAATTTAAAGCAAAAAACTTCAATATTATAACTAAACACAAATTTCTGAATCCATAGGCTGAATTGAAGTAGATATTGTTGATCAAAAAACCTCTGAAAATTCCTCAAATATTTCACATCTTTTCTTTCATCGATAAACACATGAGGAAAAATCAATTGCAAAAATTTTATTAAAAACTTGTATAGACACCATACCTTTCTTTGTGCAGAAGCTTTAATTGCAATAACCTTGAGAAAATTGAAAGTGGGTGTTAACCCATTTTCTGAGTCGACTCGCGGAGGACCGAGTGAAGACAATTCATTGCTCGGATTGGATTGAGGGTAAGAAATATGAGATGGGCTGTTATCGGCTTTGCAAGAAATTGAGATGATTCGCCTGAGTTGTGGCCGAGTGAGTGATGGAACGAAACTGGGTTTAGGAGAGTCGAATCTGGCGAGCCGAGAGAGAAAAGGAGAGGGCTTTCGAGAGATCTCCAAGGGGGTCGGAGAAGAAGAGTACAGAAGCCTTTCCATGGCTTCCCTGTAAAGTTTAAGGCTATAAAAAGGTGAAGATTTTAGCAGAGAGAGTTGAGAAATTGTTGAAGATAAAGTTTTGGAAGGCAGAAAATTGGAAATGTGAATTATATTTAGTTCTAAACCCTGCCTTATTACTATTTTCAAATTTAATCCAATGATTCAGTGGGATAAATATTATTAAAAATTATCTACCTTTATTTTATTTTAAATTATTATTTTTGATAAAAAAAAATATATGATTGTATATTATATTTATAATTGTAATTGTATTATAAGTATGCGTTTAAAAAATTAATTTTGTAATTAAATTAATAACAAAATATTAAGTAAAAGATATCCTAAAATTAATAATAACAATAACTAACAAAGCATTAACTAATTTATTTAAGTGGTTAAAAGGAATGGTTGTCGCTACTAAAGGTGATTATAAAGTAGTATATATTTTAAGTACTCTCAACCATTTGACAATGAATGTTTAATCACCATTCCAGTCGTTAGTGCTCGAACACATGACCTTTAAAAATAACAACGGAATTACAAGATGATTTCGAAGAAAACGGTTCTATAAATCATCTGTGTTCACATTCTTGTTGGATCATGTACGGAGACTAAAATATGTCGTATCATCTATCCGTCTTTTAAAAAAATGTCATATCGTGAATTGCCTTCTTCAAACACTATAATTTCTTTTCTAATTGAAAAAAATAAAAAACAATCACAATACATATTTTTTTCAATACCTTATCTTAACATTTTTGCCAACAAAAACGAATATGTATTTGTGCAAATTATAACTAGTCTTAGTGCCCATTGAGTTGATTATTTTATGATGCATTGGTGCCATTATCCATGATTTTGACTGCCCTCTTCTCTCTAATCCCATTCCGTGGCCTAATTTGTGTCCACGACAGGTTTGCTTAACCAGAAATTTGTGTAATATGAATGAGGTTGTTGATAAAGTGGGTGAAGTTGGCAGCGTTTGTTAAACATTAGTCGGCTGCCCAGATTTTGAACATATTCAACGGATATGGACATCACTTCATCATTGTCATATCATAATAGGTAGGTATTGAATTAGTTAAATGATGTAATAGATAAAAATAAATATTGTTTATCTTAAAGATTTTAAATTTAAATAATATGTTTATAAGATGTATGTTATCAATAATTAAAATAGAATTTGAATAAATATAATCTTATAATCATCTTACACTAATAAAAAAATATTTTTAAGGTAAATTATATAAATGATCATTGATTTTTAAATAAGTTTATATTTTCTATTAACATTTTAAAAGAAACAGTCGTTACCGTTGATGAGAGGCTAACAACTTTTCCCAAAGCCAACAAGCATGACTCAGCTTCTCCAAGGCTCATCAAGACCAGACCTCCAATGCCTAAAACTCGACCAAGTGGTTCAAGAAGAGAGCTTCTGCAACATGTTCAATGGAGTCGATGAACAGCAAGGGTTTTGGCCACAGTCCGAGCAGCAAAATTTCCATTGAAAAATCAAAACTCCAAATTCCCTCACTGTTGATTAATCCTGCATTTCCACCAGCTTCTACCTTAGCAGTTGAGATGTTTGTTTAATGCCTGAAAGAACAGGATGGTTACCCACCCTTCGTTTGTACACAAGTTTTTGTTTTATGGTTTCTGCAAACAAGGGTGGCTCGTGTAGACCGAGTCCCTTTTTTTTTTAACAAATGGAGTTATTGGGTTTATTGATAGGTCAAAATGACTGACCCGGATGACTAAATGGAGTCACGTCAGTTGATTTAATCACCACGTCAGTATATTATTATTCAATGACAATTATTGACAGTAAATGCTTAATTTATTATAAATTAGTAATATTAATTATCAAATTATTAATTTTGAAATCCGAGTGGAAAAAAAGTAACTTATCCAAACATCAGTGCCTATTTGTATAGTTTACCCTTCTTTTTATAAAGCAAAAGCGCTAATCTGTTCCACTATATGAAGTCCACGTTGTGGACATCTTAAGGGCCACGTGTAGATCCACCTACGGCTCTTCTCCGGCCTCACGCAGGCACTCCTCGCGCACGCACTGCGCACGCGTGCAAGTTGTTGCTTTGGATAGTCAAAATAATAAATAAACTTTAAATGATTTAGTAACGTGTTTTATATAAGAGAAAATAACCTCATTGACAAAAAATGTCTTATAATATACGATTTTAATCAACTTTTTTTGGATTTGCCAAAATGACCAACTAAATCGCAATGCGATCGATAATTCGCAACGCGATCTCCGGTATCGCAAATCAGTTTCCAGATTCGCAACGCGAACTTCGACTATCACAATGTAAACTTTGACTATCACAATGCGAACTTCGACTATCACAATGCGAACTTCGATTACCACGACCACGATCACGACCACGAGACGAGACGAGATGAATGGCGGCGGCGGCGGCGGCGTGCGAGAGTCCCCCTTGTTCTCTATCACTCAACAAGGAAGTAGGAAAGTCAAGCCTTAAATACCATTCCCAATAGTGTTTCCAATACTATGTGGGATTGAGCATTACCAACACTTGTCTCCAATACAATGTGATTATTCAGGAAACAATTAACAATCATGCACCTTAAAACAACTGAATCAGCAACCAATTGCATTAGTATTATACGATTAAATATGTCATAATTAAAAGTCAATCTACAATCAATCACGATTATTGCAATTTTAAGCAAAACATTACAAAATAATATCACTATTTAAGGCTCAATCCCACATAATATTGGGAACAAGTGTTGGTAATGCTCAATCCCACATATTATTGGAAACACTATTGAGAATGGTATTTAAGGCTTGGCTTTCACACTTCCTTGTTGAGTGATAGAGAACAAGGGAGACTCTCGCGCGCCGCCGTTGTCCGTCTCGTCTCGTCTCGTGGTCGTGGTCGTGGTATTGGTATTGGTAATGGTATTGGTAATGGTAATGGTAATACGTGTAACACCCCAACCCGTACCCGACCCGAATACGAGTCCGATGTGTCACATTGACTTTTAAAACCTTGACACTTAAAGAAAATTCCCGGGAAATTTAAAACTTTATTTAAAACAAAATACTTTAATTTACATAGAAGAGACTACAAAATACAAACTCGATCAGAGTGCTCATAATTAACGACTTATTACATGCCAACACTCTATACACAACAAAATACATACTTTGTCGATTACTTCTGATCTGATCTTCTAGTAAAAATACTATCCTTGCCACTTCTATTCTTGCTCTTCACGTTTCTTGGTACCGACGTGTAAATCACTTACACGCTAAGTCATAGACTTAGTGAGGCAATAAATAAACATGTAACAATAGTTTCATGAATATGCATTCTTACCATTTGATCATGATATTTCAATATGCATGGATATATTTCCTATGACATATATAACCAAGTCATGCACACATGAAACTTACCTTTATGCATCACTTTCACTTTAATTTATATTTCAATTGTCGTTGTTGCCCATGTATATTATTGAGAATAGAGGTATATGAGTATATTGAGGTTGTGCACCAATGTTGTCACCACAGCTCGTATAAATTCCCTCATGGGGCACCGAACATTTGTTCAGTATTCGTCCCGAATGACTGTTATATATGTCCCGTAGGACCACTACGTCCCGAAGGACTACAATACCCTCGACTCTTGGCATGCCAACTATACCTATAGCTCTCGTTTCATATACTATGGGCATTTACGATGAATACTTTTCTCATCACTTGTTCTTTCTTTTCTGTCACATACCACATGTATGTGTAACCATGTATTTCATATCATATCACATGTATCATGTATTGCATATTCATATATCATTTCATATATTCACATAACTTATCTCATTTCACATTGATCATGTCTCATAGCATATATCACATATGCATATAATCATGTATATCATATCATATATCTTATGTTTCATGCTCTTATGTCTATGCATATCATATAACATATATAATAACATATACCCATTTCATGTATTCATGCATATATAAGAATCACAAATCAATTAACATTTTAAGAGTCACTTTTTACCATAGTAACTCCATCACTAGCTCATCGCAAGCCAATGTTCAATAATATCAGTACAATTAAAATTGCACTCACCTTAGCCTTGCTTTGATTCGATTATAATCCTTTGATTATTCCGGAACTTGTTTAGGCTCAATATCTACATAAATATAACATTTCAAAATAACTATCAGAAGCCTAAACCTTAAACTTGATGTTAACAACTTAAGTCAGATTCTTGAACCCAATTTCATTTTTCCTTTAGGGGGAATCGATACTCCCCCCCAGGGGGAATCGATACCCCCTGGACATACTGGAAATTTTCTCGTTCTATAAGGGGAATCGATTCCCCTTCATAGGGTATCGGTTCCCTATGCCCATAAATTGTATTTTAAGCCCGAAAATCATCAATTTTCACTTAATTCTTCTATTTTAAACCCCTATCATGTCATTAAACTCAACTACCATTACTTAAACCAACTTATATCCATAAAAATCATCTATAACTTCAAAATCCTATTCTTCATATGAAATTCAAGAATCATACTCAAATTTCAATATGTTCTGAATACAATTCTAACACTTCATATTCCTTAATTAGCATGATGACACGCCAACTTCAAATTCAACTTATCAACTCTATTTCAAGATTTCATATAAAAACTCATTTTCTTAAATCTCTTATAACTTCTTCATCTTTTGATTATAAGACAACTTAAGCTTTCCTTAAGCTTAGTTATCATCTAATGATAAAAACCTAACCTTTAATTTAACAAATAACCAACAAATCAGAGAACCCTTACCTTTGCTATGGCTTTCTCTCGTTTGGAAGAAAAAGAGGAGAAGAAGATATATTCTTCTTACCCCTTTCCCCCATATATATCCTCCACATAACACAAATTAATCATTTAATGGTTAAATGGCCATTTTGCCCTTTAATTCTTTGGATAATTACTAAAAACTTTCAGGAAAAATTTTCGAACAAATCATCGAACAATAAAAATATCCCACTTAAATCACCAAACTCTGAAGTTTTATGATTTAGTCACTAACCC